AAAGAAAACGTCGTGCGTAACATAAAACAAAATGCGTGACTACATTAGACTTTATTTACTTCTGAAAGCGCGTGGAGAGACGGAGATGCTCTCAGTAGAAGCACAAAGTTCCCTCCACCGGGCTCCACTCAGCACAGGGCTGCAAAGCCCCATAGCCCCAATAGCAGCAGAAGCAGAAGAGACACACACCCACGCACTGTGCCGTCACCGCTTCCTGAATTGGGCCTCACACGTGTAAGGTTGTCGAAAGCAACAGAGCTGTCACCTGCACGTTTCCAAGAGGTATCGAAGCTGTTACCCGTACGTTGCTCAGACGCATCAGAGCTGTCGCCTGCATCTTTCCCAGAAGCATTGGAATCGTCAACCTTTTTGAGTTCCTTCTCACTCAGTGGGTGATTGTACAAAAAGACATCGTTTACTGTCACACTGATGTTTTTCGCCACCACCAAGGTAAAAGTGAGTGATGTCATGCCTCCGTGCCTCACGGGTTGGTAGTGTGTCGGAACTCTCCACTAGCACGCCGTCCACGTACACAAAGCCATTGTTGGACTGCAGCATGAGCGCCACTTTATACTCCTTCCCCGGCTCCCAAGTGCTGTTGTGTGTTGTTGTCGTGCCATTGAAGACTGTTACCCACCGCTTATCTGTGGTGTACGACAGCCCCACAAACGTCGTGTTTTCATTGTCCTCCAGGCCCGCACCCAGCAGAGGAATGCTCTCGTTCGGAACCTGATGAATCTTCACCGTCGCCACAAGCGTAAACTCATAATTCACAACGCTGTACATGTTGTGATACTTCCACATGTTCACGGGCCACATGGCGTATGACTCAGACCCCGTGAACTCAAAGCCATCTTCGACCTTCTTTGCATTCGTCACAGTTGCATTCACGCAACGGTACGCGTCGTTCCAAGTTCCATCACCCGATGCATCCGACAAGAATCCAATCAGACCGGCCGTGGGCACAGACGAGTTGGAGAGGAAGGAGTCCAGTTTTGCCCAAGTCTCCAAGACGGACGTGATCGTCTTCAGCTGCTTTGTTAGGGGAGCAAGAAAGAGACCTATGGTCGTTGTACTGATCCTCTGTTGTAAAAGGTGCAACGCATTGTTAGAGTACAGCACAGCGTGCTCAGACGTCCACTTCCCTGCAGTGTCCATGGAAATGGGCCCGACGTGAAACGTGCGGTTGTTGTCAGTGACCCAAAGGTAGAGCGCGGTGGCTCGCGTCTTCTCCCCAGGGGGAATCCCTTTCTGAGTGTACAGCATGACCTTCTTTCCAGCAATGGTCGCAGTGGTGAGGGACCCCACTCCCTCAGCTGTTCGCGAAGAGTCTGGTAACAACATGGGCTGCACGCGTGTGAGTGTCCTGACAGCCACCGTCCACGTTGCCCCCATGTCCCTCGACTCGAACACCTTGGAGAGCGAATTGCATTTGGCAATCATGACAAGCTGCCCCCGCTCCCACTCAACGATGAGGGGGTCAGTGCACCGCGGGGGGGGCATCCCCTGTGAAAGCGTCCAATTGTTGCCGTCGTCCTTCGAATAAATGATCATGGGCACAGCTTCGTTGTCTCCTGTCCTCCTCGCCCTCACAGGAAACACAAGCGTGCCATCCTCCATCACAACGCCTGAGCCACCACCACCTAGAAATTCCTTCACGCCACGTTGTTTAGCAGATAGGCCGATCTGTGGCAAAAGCAAGGTGGGTTTGCCCCATTGGATGACTTTATCTTGCGTGGCCTCACCCACGAACAAATCAAGACCCTGTGAGACTTTAATCCACTTCTTCGATGAAGGATCATATTTCTGATAAGAGTTTCCCACAAGTAGGAAGACCTTGTTGCCCTTTGCAATTGTTGTGGGTCTGTACGCATATCTCACACGGTTGTTATGCTCCTCTTGCGTGGTCATGTTAAAGATG